AAGGCTTCGCGCAGGTGGTGATCCACGTTTTGCTCCTGTTTATTTAAACTTCAGCTGTTGCCTGGGGTTCTATTCCCACCATTTTTGCAGATGATTTTTTTGGCCCTCATAGGCCCTTAGTCGCTTGGTTTCAGATTTTATTAATGGATTGGTTAAGCGAAAACCATCACATTTCACAGTAAAATCCGTGGTTTCCTGCAGACTTGTCCTGAAACCACTCCATTTTTCCCACCCAGCAGATTCTCTTCGACCCGAACGGGTTGTCTGAGGAGCCAATGATGCAGCTGTCGAGACGGCGACGGAGTGCCCTCCCTGGGGCAATGGCTGCAAGTGTGGTGCTGGCCTATCTGTCAGCGCCCCAGATGTGGGAAATTGTGGGAAGTTTAGAAGCAAGTCACATAGATGAGCAGACCTGGGCATTTCACGTCTCCCACAACTTTGAAAAAGGGCCATATTCAAAGAGCATGCTTCAGCCGCCTCCAGGCATTGCAGTGTGTTTGGTCCTCGGGTATGGTACTAGTATTCCCAACTGGCTGTTTGGATATTCTTTTGAAGGCTGTGGGCCAAAGATGGCCAGAGGTTTCGCTGTTTTGACATGGCAACCAGCTGAGGTCACTTTTCGTGCCTACACGGTCACTGGCTGAAGGCTTAGTAGCTCGATCAGCTCGACCAGCCAGGAGCTTCGTCATAGCTTTGGTCGTTTTTTTTTCCATGTCTTTTTGGAGGATTCAGCCACGTTTTAGCCACGTTTTAGCCACGTTTTGGCCACCAGGACACCATGCTTCGGGAAGAAGAAAGGTAGGGGCGGAGGTGGAGGCGGAGGTGGCGGAGGTGGTGGAGGTGGTGGAGGTGGCGGAGGTGGAGGTGGAGATGGAGCAGTTGAGGTCGACACTGAAGCGTTGATGAAGGAGTACGAGGAGGGGGGCCAAGCATCACAGGATACGGATGATATGATACTATTTAGATCTATTTAGATTATATCTGATGATATCTGATGATATTTGATATCCGTTTTTTTGTTAAATAAAATGTGCTTGAATACATTCGATAACATTTGATGATGTTTGATGATATGCGGGTATGTCTCTTGTTTGGAAGCCCCACACTGCCCTAGAATAGGTCTCAAAGATTCACGTGTCGTGCTTGGAAGGGTCGATTTCAAGATTAGAGGAGGTGCACATGCTCTCTGTAGTTCCTTGAGGATTTTTGAAGGCCCTCCAAGACTTTCAAGATCTTTCATTTTTTTCTCAAAAAATACCCTCTGGAATATTAACATAGGCCCTGGCAGTTATCGGGGTTGGAAGACTAGTTTCCATTAAACATTGGTGATTTTCAGGGTCTATGTTAATTTACCAGAGGGTATGTTGGTTTTCTCAGCTTGCTTTCCCAGCTGACCAGCCCCACCAGACCAAGATGGACAAGTCAGTGGGCATGTTGGATGACAGCCTCAGAACCATCCGGGCAGGAAAGGCGAGAACCTGAGAATGACTTCACTGAGACTTAGATATGTGACCTGTATATAAGTTATAAGTTAACATCCCCAAATGACCTGAGAATACACACATTTCATCCCAAAATGTAAGAACTTCTTTTCATATGATGAAAATTCTCCAGATCGTCAAATGGGAACTGGATCGTTCTGATCCATTTTTTTCATCAAATTTCACAGTTGACTCAGATCCTGATGGATCTGATGGATTTTCTCCATGCCATGCCTCCAGGCAACACCCCAGCTGCTGGACTCTATCAAGGTGAGATCTTGAGTGATCCCCCTTTTATGGTGATTAAGTGATGGGGAAACTGATGCACATTTTTTTTGTTTGGAGAATTATCTTCCAAATGCGATTTTGGGCGAAAAAGTCATAAAAACATGGCCCCATTTTCAGGAACAATCCCTGTGTTTTGCGAATGTCTTGAACCAAAAACTAACATAGCTATGGAAAATATTGGAAAATCACCATGCTATTAATGGGAAAACTCACTATTTCGACTGGGCCATTTTCAATAGCTATTTTGACATAACCAGAGGGTAAATCCCATTAGATCACTATTAAACCACCATAAAATCACCATTTATAGTGGTTAAATCACCATTTTCCTATGTTAGTTTACCAAACATGGCCCACGTCCAGCCCCCGAGTCGTAGGTGAACGCCTATGAGTCGCAATTGAAGCTGGAGGAAGTTGCCACCATCAGTGTGCCTTTGAAGTGGCTTTTTTTAGCTACCGATTAGTTGATGATTAGTTGGTAGATTATACTATACATTACTATACCATATATATATATATATCTTATATCATATATATATATAATATATCATATATCCATATAAATGATAGGTATAATATATATATATATATGATATGTATATATATAAGAGCTGCCACCCCTGCCGCCGACCCCGGAAAAAAAGGACGAGTCTGACCAAGCTCCGCTGGCAGTGTGTATATATATATACACATAGATAGATAGAAGATAGGTATAGACATGATAATGATATGATATTATTTAGATATATATATATATATTCTACTTGACATACCTATATTTACGCATATATATATAAAATTATATTTACATATATAGATTATAGGTACATATATTCTACATAAATAAGTAAAAGTACAAATGAATAAATCAATAAATAAATAAATACATACATATATAAATAAATAAATAAAATAAAAATAAATAAACGTACACACACACACATATATATTTTAGAACTGGTAGCGGCCCAACCAGTTGAGCTCCCTGAGCTCCCAAAAGGTTCCACCTTGCTGCCCTGCAGCTTCCGCTATGTTTTCCTCCAAACGCTGAATGCACACGGTGCTAAGGATCGGCCACGACCCTCCTATGGCTGCAAGCCTATGCCCACCCACCTGCTTAGCTCACAGAGCCCCAGGCTTCGGCAATGATGGATGTGAAGGATGGTGCACATGTAGGCTGACAAGGAGAAGTACATTGGGAAATGGCAGTGATTTCACATACCCAACAACCAAAAAAAATTCCCAATGTGCCAGTTGCAAGCAATCAGTCTCATATTTCCTAGATGCACCATCAAGGACGTCTTGGCTTTTCCTTAAGGCTATCGTTCCCCATATGAAGCTGCCGACTGTCGCAACCATTGCAATCGAGACCTTGAATCAGACCTTGCTTTGAGAATCTCACTTTCATCGTGCAAACAGTATTTCCCCAAATGGAGGCATTCTCGCAACATAGTGTTGTCCATGACCTTTGTAAGTGAGTCGGCAACTTGAGCAGCTGATGGTACCCAACGGATTTGGATTCCATTGTTCAGGTGTTCCTTTATCAGTTTGGCTTGGAGAAGGGTTCGAAATTCTCCACAACTGGGAGGTGCAGTACGGCTGATTAAATCATACAAAGACTTGCAATCAGTGGTTATTATGGCTTTGTTGCTTTGTGGAAGTTGTTTCAACAATTCAAATGTATTGTCAGGGCACGGTGGTACTTCAGCTTCAGGGTCAATTGGTGGTCTTGCGGCGAATGCAGGTGGTAATTGCAGCAATGTCTGATCAGCCTTCTTCCATGGGAGGTTCACATTCATGATCCAACCCCAATACAAACGAACCCACGACAGCATATCTACAGTGCCTGCAAGTGACATCGCCTCGGCTGAGAGCGTACTCACTGCCACCTTCTGAATCTTCTTGGAATGCCATACCAGCGGGTTCACTGGACTTGTCCGGTTACTCCCTATGTTTTCATGACATGACATGATCATCATACCCTGGTGTGAATCAGGCTCCTTGTGTGAAGAGAAAGAGGCATCAGAGAACGCTACAAATCGCAGCTTGGCAATCGGAATCGGCTGAACTTTGATCGTCACTTCCGCATGAAGCTTTGCTTCGTGCAGTGTTCGATTGGCCTCCAACAATGTAGAGACTTGTGCCCTGTTGATTCGTGATTGTAACCATCCTAAGCGACTGCATAGATCAGGGCGACTGTTCACGGCAGCATACTGTAGTGACCCAATAAGGGCGCGCAGTTCCTGTCTTTCAGAGTCAGTGACAGGGTCCTCAGGTTTACTTCTTCTGTCTCGTGAAACGGTGATGTGGTGAATGTCTTTGATGTATTGAGTTTGATGGATATGTATTGATTGGTCAGGTTGCTGGTCGATCTTGAGGCCTGTGAAAGTGAAATTTCTGCGCTTGTGTGATCCAAAAGGAAACTTTTCGGACAACTGTCTCAATTTTTCCTGAAAGACTTCTGAGCCACAGCATAAGCCATCATCAACATGGATGCCTACCAGACCTTCAGGAGTTCCAGATCTCTCATTTGGTAGCACAAAAACACATGGGTCAAACGGTGAAGGAATAAACCCCAGGCTTTCTAATTCCTTTTTCAGCTCCATGAACCACAAATAGGGAGCGTCGACTCGTCCGTATGCTCCTTTTAGCAGTCGAAGAACTTCATTTGGCTTGAGTTTTAGCTTTTCTCTAAGTTCTGCAGTAGGTTCTACCCCAAGCACTCGTTCACTTTGTTCTTGACCCCTCAAAAAGGCCGTTTTGATGTCAAACGACTCGATATCCCATCCCATTGACGCAGCCCATTGAACTATCAACATCCTAGACAGTTTTGACATAGTTGGACTATCCCGGGGTATCTCATGAACCAGAGGATCTTCATATCCCAGCACAACTAATCTTGCCTTAGGAACGTGTTTGGAATCCTTGGGCCCAGGAGAGTCCACAGGCTTCCAGGTCAAGATCCATCGGCATCGCAGGATGTTCTCCTCAGGGATCTGGTGTCGCAACACCTTTGCCACGGTTTCTGTTGCCAGCCAACTATCGATTTCTTTCATTTTGGCTTGATGAAACATCTGACGTTCAGCCTCGTTGAGTTGAGACATTTTTACTTCACTCCTTTGTTTCTTGGCGGCTGACACCAAAAATGACATGGCATGTGGGTCTGTTTCCTGACGCCATTTGTCAATGTCGGCGTTATTGATATCCACCTCAAGTTTCCAGACTTGATCCTCCGACAAATGAAAGCACTCGTTGAGATCTTCAAACCAGTTGCAAGATTCTATCATGAGACCTTCATCAGCATCTTCGGGGATCGGAGTCTGTACCGGGGCAGCAATTGTTTCAGCCGTCAACGGTGGCATGCTGTCTGACCGCATCTGCGGAAACTGGCTTAGTTGCCCATTGGGCCTAGCTTCACCCCCCTCAGGAGTGAGGTTGCCAGGTGTGGCTTCGGGTTCAGGGTCACTTTGGACATCACTGGAATCATCATGAATGTGAATAGCGGTTTGAGTGACAGTATTGGGAGGCATGCTGTTATCGGGAGGTATACCTTGATTATTGAGGTTGTGAAGTTGAGTTACTCCATGAGGTGGTATGATACTTTGAGAACCTTGGTGTGGATTATTACCATTATCACTGGGAGCTTGCTGGTTTTGATTCCATTCTTCAACTGCAGAAAGAGGCCGAATGTGCTCAGGGGCAGCTCGATACAACTTCGTGCCTCTTGTTACCCAAACCACTTTATTCCCTTCTTGGATGATGACATTCATGGGACCCTCCCATTGGCCGCTGGCTTCTCCTCGTTGTTTCCACAACATGACCCATTCCCCAGGAGCATATTGCCCTCGGCTGGGGCGGCTTCTACCATGCAGTGCTCTCCTGAGAGTTTGGTCATTGTCTACCGCGGCAAATGCTCGGCGAGCTCTTTCCCTACATTCAAGTTCAGCTCGAAAGCGCAACCCTTCAGCTGTTGGCCGCAAGGCAAATTCATGGGCAGCTGACTCATCATCACTGATTACGGATGCAGGTGATCTCGTGCTCTTCCCAAAAACAAGCATTTCAGGGGGATATCCTCGATACCTACTCCACTTATTCTTGGTCATGGTGGCTTGCATTAAGGCAGTCGCAAGTTGGGAGTACGATGTTATGCTTTCTTCATGGTCCATTTTGGTGAGCATCATCTGCAAAATCCCCCCATGTCTTTCTACCCTTGAGTTTTGCCAATGGGCCTCGGCAGCGCACGTCTTGCTTTTGACATTGAAACGCTGAAGAAAGGCTTCAAACTCTTCGGAATTGAACTCCGTTGCCGCATCAAACACTATCATGCTAGGAGCCCCGGCCCATTGGAACCACCCTTGAAGCAGGGATTGAATAGCACTGGTGGCCGATCTAGAGACTGAACCTACAGCCGTGTGGTATGACGTAGCCTGATCAATGAAGTGATAAAAATGGAATTGGTCACCCTTGCTATTGGTCCAAGTTACCCCATCCATTGAAATGACTTCACCAAAATCCATTGGCTCATGGATAGCGGCCGGTCGTGCCACTTTTGGCTGTTGCGTCTCTTTGCACGTGGAACAATTCAGATCAGGGATTGCTTGGAGGAATTCTTCCGGACACTGCAGTTGTCTGCAAAACTCCATCAGCTTCTGAGGGCCAGGATGCCCTAAGTTCCTATGGATCTTGATCAACCATGCTTGCGCACTTGCTTCAAGTTGGAGGAATTTTGGTCCATGTTTTTGACTGGCAAGATCGATGACATTCCTGTCTATCTCAGGGAATTCCTTGCTCTCTGGATTTTCTGAAAGTCCTTGTGCCTTTTCACTGTTCCTGTTTGGAGTTGAGTTATCATGGCTATTGATATTATGGTTATCAGGATTATTGTTAATGGTCCTTAGGGATGGATTCTGTGGAGGGGTGGAGGATGATGAGTTTGATGACATAGGTACTTCAGCTTCGGGCATGTTGGCAAATCGGACTCTCTTGGCTGAGGGTTCTGCACGCAACGGCGGAACATGATCTCTCTCTGGCATCGTGGGGATTGCAGCATCGGCAGAAGTTTCCCCTGATTCCTCAGGCAACATCTTGGCTTGTGCAAAAATCGTCAAGCTCACCCTGGCTGGCATTGCCTTTCTTCGAAGGCCCTTGTACGTGAGTTTCTCCCATGGCTCCCACTCGGTGTCCACCTGAACATCTTCGATTTTCCTACGAATGCAAACCATGCGACGTAAGGGAGCTTCTCCAGGGAACATTGACTTGTTGGGGCCGACATATCGATCTGTGCCTCCATACATAAAACCACATGCTTAACTGTTTGGTTACTGCACATGTGTTGCACCTGTTGAATCAATGGTCCATTGTCGATGATCAGAGTACCAACTCGGGGAGCTAGTCGATCTGCCAGAGACATCACTGTCTGCCAATTGATGCTGGTGAATTTCTGCGCTATGGCTTCCAAGTTCATTTTCTGGCCGAGACGTCGCTTCTTGGTCGGGTGCTCTTCATCATCAGCAGTTTCTGTTCCAAACACAGGCGTGTCATGACTTTGAAGCATGATTTTGGACACTTGTCGAGCAAACTTTGGTGGATACTGTTCTGTAAACTTGGATAAAGGCATTCGGTGACCCTGAACAACAGTCTGGCCAGCAATTTGTCGGTGAACATGAAGCCCTGGGCACAAACGCTTATGCAAGTTACGATGCAGAGTCTCGGAAGCCGTGTGCACTTCCAATCGCTTCCGAATGGCTTCCCCAGTAACAGGATCACGGAGGTTACCAACTTGACACATGTCAAACCTGCTGCAGTGCGTATTGTTGGTGATTTCTTCCATACCGGCTACTGATTTCATTTTGGATCCTGCTGGTTGCTCATGATGGAAGTGGCTTCGATGTGAAACCTGATACCGATACAACACAATGCCCAAGCTGATTTGCCACAGGCTGGCTTGTCTCTTGTGGTAAATCTGTTCCCAAAGTTCCATGCTTCGACTTTCGTTGTGCTGATTCCAAAGGCACCATGGAAAACATTCAGGACTGTACCAAACATGTTTTGGTCTATGGCTAACCAACATGGAAAACAGCTTGTTCCGTCCAAGTTGAGTGCTAAGATCCCCTTGAGTCGTGCTAAAACGAAGTGCTTTTCCACCCACATTCTTCATCTGAAAAGTCAATTCACTTTGGTCGTGGCACATGACTTCGAGGAGATCGATGCGAGACTGCTGCATGCGTGGCGTTGGGATCTGTTTCAATTCAGACTCAAACTGTTTCACCAAACGGCTGACTTGTGACTTGAATGATGGACACTGTATTCCAGGTGGTACCATGAAATTGAAGTCCCAATCCGCAACATCCTCTCCATGAAAAGTCTCTACTGGCTGCTCTGTACGCTCAGACCCTTGAGGTGCAAGAGGATCTCGGCCATGTTGCCCTCGAGGTTGGCCAGGCGATGATTGAGGTTCTGGTTCTCCTGGAACATGTGATTCACTTGGTCTTGAAGAATGGCCATCTCGGTGGTCATCCCCGACATCTTGGCTGGAGTTGCTTCCCATTCTTCGGCACTTTCCTCCCCCAGTTCCTCCTTGATAGGATCCCATGACTTCTCGGACCCGTTGTCCTTCTGTTTGACAGGATTCTTGTGTTGGTACCCCTCGGACTTGATCGCCTGCTCTAGCTTCTTCTCCACGTACATCACATACTTTTGGTGTTCCATTTTGGGGCTCTTTTCGTATTGGCTCACAAACCAATCCGTCCACTTGTGGTCCTTGAAGGCCTCCGGAAAGGGGGTCCCCAACTTTGCTTTTCCAAACGCAATCACTTCTTTCTCCAGTTCTTGCAGGCTGAGTTTCTTCAGGTCGGCTGCACGATCCTGTGATTGATTCTCTTCCATCTTGGCTCGATACCGACTCAACCGCTGGGAAACTGATGCCATGGTTCACGGGTGAAATCTGATCGGAAGGTGATGGCTCGATCTCGTTTGTGCCAGTGCAACTACGGTGATCGACATGTTCCACTGAAATCTGCTGGCAGACTTCTGATTTCGGATGCATTGGGGCAGGCATGGATGGCTGGTCAACCTGATTAACCTGGTGTACCTGCTCAACTTCAACTTGTGATTTCATTGATTCCTCACTTGGCTGTGGCGGCTGGCTATCTGCAGTTTTGGACTCGGATGCCAAGCATGTCTCAGATCCTACCATCTTGGCAGATTCCTTGCATTGCCCTGGGATTTCGGAAGGCCACAGCTCATTGAGGTCCATCAAAAACAAGTTCTTGTGATTGCGTGACACCTTCAATTGCCGGTTAAGAAACTTACTCCACATGGTCTCCTGCTCAGTGTCAATTACCGCTTGAATACCCTTGAGAAAGGAACTTGAAATCAAAAACGGTGTGTTGCCTTCCACTACTGCGATTCTGAAAAACTGATCTCCCAAAGGCAAAAGAAGTGCATGTCGACTGACCAAGGTCTGATGATTTCCAAATCGAAAAACCAAGTTGCAAGACTGGCGGCGAACACGGCTGCGCACCCATTCCGGAATCTGTTTCAACAACTCAGGAACTTGTTTGCTACCTATCACAGTCTGAGAGGCACCTAAGTCAACAACTCCAGTGGATCCGGATGATGCAAACAGGCTCAGGTGTTCGGAGTCTTCTATTGATACATGGGGCTCACTACGTCGAAGCTTCAGCTTGCGCAGGGTGGCAATGCTCTCACGGATGCTCAAGTGGGTCGGCACATTCTTAGAACCCAGCTTGCTCCTGGAAAGAACCCTATTGACCTTACTGAAACCCCATTTATCCCCAATAGTTACCTTATCATCCATTACCGTCAAACAAACTTCCTCAGACCAAACCCCAGTTTTCTCCTCAGTGGTGGACAGGTTGATCAACTCTTCAGGGATCTCGGTCGTGGTCACAAAAGACGTTGGCGCTGTCGATGGTGCAGTTGATGAGGCAGTGCTCCTGGAAGGACACTCGTTCTTCCAGTGGCCTTTCTTCATGCAGATGCGGCAATAGGAATTTGCAATCCTATTGGCAAGAGAACTCTTCCCTTTGCCCTTCACTTTGCCCTTCTTGCCCGATCCTTTGTCTCCACGTTTGACAGCCCAGAACCCTCTGAAACGCACCTTTTCGGACAACCTCTTACGAGCCTCTTGGTACGAGGAGTAAAAGGCACAGAGTTCAGCATCGTTCTGTACTGTTTCAGCCACCGCATCTTCGAATTGAAGTACAAGAGCTGCATCATCGTCATCCTCAGCTGCCAGACTTTCCAATGTGGAATTCATCCAGAAAGTCATCCTGCATCCAGAATGTCTCATTCTCGGTGTCCATGGTTTCAGATTGATCCTCCAAAGTGAAGGCAGTGTGATCATACGTTTTGAGGCTCTTCTCCTTTTTGAACCCCACCATGTCTTGAAAAAACCCGGATCCAATCATTCTCACAGCTGCTTCCACTTTTGATACTTCCAGCGCCCCACCCTTCTCAGCTCCAGAGTCCACTATGACCCGTTTCTTGTCCTCACTTCCAAGTCGGCTTCCTCTGAGAAGAATGTAGGCCTGAATCTCTGCCATGTCAATCTTTTTGCCAATTAACTCCGTCCATACCACATCACAACGTGACAGATAGGAGTCACTGCTTTCGTCCATCTTTTGCTGACTGCGGTAAAGCGCTTTCTCTACCAACTCGAATTTCTTCTCCAAGGGAATGGCCCCCCATTTACCTCCAACCAGTTCCACCAGCTTCTGAATCCCCTGAGGGTCGTTGATCAAGATCTCCTTGCGGTGAAGTTGAAGTTTCTGGAAGGCTGTCCCCTTACACCCCAGCACAAGACGTGTGGCTAACTCCTGAATCTTGTTGGCAGGCCATGCTGAGAGCAGCAATTCTACCTTGTTCGTCCAGATTTCCACGTTGTCCACTGCCGGATCAAAACTCGGCACCAGTATAGACAGGTTATTTGGGACCTGTCCAACCTCTGCTGAAGCTTCTCCACTCTGCCCTGGCGAAGCCATCGTCCGGGCTCCGCTACCAGTTTAGAACTGGTAGCGGCCCAACCAGTTGAGCTCCCTGAGCTCCCAAAAGGTTCCACCTTGCTGCCCTGCAGCTTCCGCTATGTTTTCCTCCAAACGCTGAATGCACACGGTGCTAAGGATCGGCCACGACCCTCCTATGGCTGCAAGCCTATGCCCACCCACCTGCTTAGCTCACAGAGCCCCAGGCTTCGGCAATGATGGATGTGAAGGATGGTGCACATGTAGGCTGACAAGGAGAAGTACATTGGGAAATGGCAGTGATTTCACAATATATATATATATTTACTCGTACATAGGAACAATGGCTGCTTCTTCATGATTGTTCACGCCCTTAGCAAAAACGAGCCTCCGCCACGCCTAAACAGCAGGGCAGGGAAGGACCGGAGATGCTACAAGACCTCGGCCAAAACGTCCGTCCTGTCTGAAATTCGTAGGAAAGAGCTACACAAATATAGTGCCATAGTGCAAAACGGCAGCAAAAACGAACCTCTGCCACGCCTAAACAGCAGGGCAGTGAAGGACGGGGCCGAGCTAAAGAAGTAGTGCAAAACTGCTGCAAAAACAAGCTTAAACAGGAGGGCAGTGAAGGAAGGAGATGCCACAAAACCTCGAACAAAGAGTCCCTAATGTCCTAAAGAGCCAAAGACATAGCGCAAAACGGCCGCATCATCATGTTGTTGTTGTTGGTGGTGGTGGTGGTGGTGGCGGTGGCGGTGGTGGAACTCTTATTACCTGGCGCCCTCCCCCTTGCTTCTGCCAGGGTCGGCGGATATATACCGTATATGGGTGATTATCACGATCCGTTGGGGGAATCAACTTGTGACACTTGGCTCAACTCACATGCTGCGAAACGCACCTTTAAGTGGTGTCACGCGCCAAATGCCCTGGTTCCTATGATTTTCATTTGCGACATGGTGGTGTCACATGCGCATGAGCCAAGTTTCTCTTCATGCAGCCATGCATGTTGATGCAACCACATATGGGTTTGTCTGAAAATATGGCACTTCAAAATCCAAGAAGTTTATATATATATATAATTATATATATATATATATCTAAATCATATCATCATTCCACAGGTTAATTTATTCGATATGGGGAATTTTCCCCATATTTTTCGGCAGTCCCAGGGTCGCACTCCCAGGGGGTCTGAAGGTCTCGGATGCGACCACATTGATGGTCAACGTCTTCGACGAGACTGTGGTGGATGCCGTGTTGAAGGCCGCGGCTGTGTCATGGCGTTGGGTCGTGGTGTTGTATGGGCCCTGCCAAGCATATGGCGATGTGATATATGTGATATATATATATATCATATATGATATACCTATATTATCATTTATCATATATCATATATCATATATCATATATGTGATGATGTGATACTGCAAAAATCTGTAAACATCATTTGCAATCATAGATCGCCCTACCAGGCCCTACCATACACTTGCTGATTTCGACCCTTCTTTAGCCCTTTCCAGCCCTTTCCAGCCCGATCCATCCGATCCAGGCGGTTCAAACAGCCGATTTGGGCTTCACCGCTTCACAGAATGGCCAGTCCGTCAAGGTGATTACCTGAGAAAAACCCGGCTGAGCTGCCGGAAGTTGACCAGGTCATGCCTTGGGTATGGCCATGATAACTAGGTAGAACTGGTTAGGGAAAACTGGTGGTATAGGTAAAACTGGTTACAACTGGTTACAACTGGCTATGATAACTATGTATGGGTTATACTTAGGGTTTTAAGATGTTGTAAGCTTTGAGGTGGGGTGGACTAAGGTGAGCATTCCTCCTTTGACCAAAGACAAGCGAGTCCAGTATGTCAAATTGGCCAAGGACTACTGTGAGAAAACCAAGGCGCGTCATCGCAATTTCCCTTTCGCAAATGCCCCCGGCATTTGGGGTGTCAAAAGGCTTGGAGCTTGGAACCCCAAAATCGTTCAAAAACTCCATGCCCATAGTTTATCATTATGCACTGTCCACCCTGCACTTCCCCCTCTTTTCCGGACCGAGCTGGCTGGCGTAGTGATTGATGATGAGCCGGCATGAGACTCATTTCCCAATATTTTCCGAATCCAATATTGAAATTGCCATAATGGCAGCGGCGGTCAATTGGTCAATCCTCCATGGAGTGGTTGGAGATGTTGGAGGTGGCGGTTCGAAATGTCCGGCAAGCGGCCATGAAGAAGATCAAAGGTCTGAAATCTGACCTGTCAGAGGATGTCGTGGGGGAGCTTGGGAGGATTTTATGGTTGACGGATTCTTGGTGGATGATTTTTTACCCACAAACCCTTCATTATGTACAATAGTTACCATCTGGTAATTTAACAGCTATTGAAAATACTCCATTTACAATTGATTTACCATAGTTTTTGGGGACTGTTTACCAGAGGGTATTCCCAACAAATGGCCCATAGAAATAGTTGATTTACCTATTCAAAATGGTGATTTTCTATAGCAAACTGTAACAGTTTACCAGAGGGTATCCATCCAGAAAAGCTGGATACATCATTGTGATTGGTTGAAGGATGTTCAATGGTAAATCTATAGGAACTTTGTAGTTTTCATGGGTGGTAAGCCAGTGAATAATGCGTGTTCTATTTGTGGGATCACTTTACGATCTTTTTTTTGGGATCTGTCATTTTAAGAGGAGAGTGTATTTATGTGCCTTATTCTGCATATTTTTCGTAGCCCAGTCAGTGACCATCCGAACATTTGCCATAGATGGGTGGTAAAAGCCATAATCACCAAATAGGATTTTACTGGATGTATTTTAATCATCCAGCCAGGTCTGAGTGGATATAAGAATTGTGGTTTTTCCGGATGGAAAACCAAAACTTGACCCCAATCCTGATTTGTCATGGAAGATTTTTGTAGATTTTCAGAATTGGTAAGGTATGTATGAATTACATTGAATTGCATTATGAGTATTGAAACTAACCCATGGTGACTTGGGGATCCCCCAATCTTTCAAGAAACCCCCAAATAGTCATAGGTCATCATAGATAATCAGAGATGTCACCCCATTCTTGTCAGTTATTAACCATTATCAACCACTGTTAACCATTATTAACGATTCTTAACCATTATTAACCATTATCAACCATTATCAACAATTCTTAACCATCCTTAACTCTTAACCATTATTAACCATTCTTAACCATTAACCATAGATATTAACCAATGTTAAGCATATTGGGGTATTAATCATCACAGATATTCAACCAAGTGCCCGGCGCCGAGGCTAGAGGGATGGAGAAAGATATCGAGGCAATGGTGAAGAAGATGAATGGAGATATTGCTACTGGCTGGCACTGGGAAAGGGTCAAAATCCTTCGAGCCCCTATAATATATATATATATTTGTGTATATGTATATATATATATATATATATGTCAAAGGGACTGAGCACTAGGACACTTGTGATGTACATGCTTAACTGTACATCTGGACGCCGTACTGGCTCAAGGCTCATGGCTCAAGTCCGTGTGCGAGGAAAAGGGTCCGAGCTGCGCTTGCCATGCACCATCAGTGTCCGGCAATACTGGCATAACAGGTACCGCAATTGATAACTACATCCAGAACAAGGATTCATTTGTTCACAGGTTATCAGCCGTAGGGGCTCACTTCTCCCGCCGGGAGAGTGGTACCTGCGTGCTGGTAGCCGGACCTTCTGAGCAATTGATTGAGGACGCAAAGGACCAATCAGCTCACCATCGCAAAGATGCAAGGCGGCAGCGGAGATTCGCGCACCACGCAGTTTACCTTCAATGAGAACGCTGCTATGCCGGTCGAGGAGGTCAATCAATCTTCCCCTGGCGACACGGCAGACAGTGGCGGGATACGCTCTACCCGAACTACACAGTCCGGATGGCAAGTCACATCAAACAGACGAAGAATATCCACCCAAAGTACACCTAGATCTTCTCGAAACAGTGCTCGGAGTGATGTTGTCCGCCAAGGGCATCGACCATCTCGAGGACGTACTACTCCAAGGGACAGATCCACCAGGGCCGTGACCGACCGAATTGGTGAGAGGACCGGGGATAGTCGTGTTAAGAGGAGATCAACGGATACTTCTGTGGCTAGTGAACCTATTGCCATGATAGAAGAACTACGGGCACAATGTCAATCCCTACGTAATCAGCTGAACAACATGGAAGCATATGCTGCATCCAGGGATCAACTGATTCATGACATCGAGATCAGGTTCACTGAGTATCTTCGGGAACACAATCAGAATGTATTTGATGAGGTCAATGCACTCAATCATAGATTGTCATGTTCCGCAAATGAGGTTGCAGAATATCAAGCTGAACTAATGGTAGCATCTCAGGAAGATGAAGGTGCAACAATACGCATCCAAGACCTTGAACGCCGAGGTGCCCTAATGGAACATGGTGCACGACGGATCCATCAACGTGGTATGGAGATCCAGGAGGAGTACAAGGATGAAGTACATCACCTTCAAGGACTACTGGGTAATACGGAGGCAAGACTACAACAACTTCATCAAACCAATGTCTTAACCACCGATATTGCCAATCGACTATACAATGAAGGTCAAGAAATGCAAAATGATTTCCAGAACTCAATCATGGAATATCGTAATCGATCTGAAATGGCATCCTCCTCTAGTAATCAACTTGAAGTGATTAGCCAGCAACAATCAATTGCAGTTCATGAATTATCTGAGCGAAATCAGCTATTGAGTGAAGCCTTGGTTCAGTCTCGTAAACAGGCCGAGCTGTATGAGAGCAGTATTGATGAGATCACTAGAGAGTCTAGGAAGAAGGTGTTCGAGGCAAATCAGGCCAAATTGGAAAGTGATCTGAAGCATCGAAACACTGAACATGATACCGTCAAAAGAATTGCATCATACAGGAACCAAGAGGCCGAAGCAATATCTCACCTGAGGCTTGAATCACAGGCTAGTGCAAACTCGATCGCAAGGGCAGAGCACTATGAAGAGCTCTATGCCAACGAGCAGAAGATGAACTGCGAATTGAAGGATGAGATCAAGTTGCAGAACACGAAGTTACGAAGATCGTTGACTCAGGGTTCTACGACCGACGGTCGTGGCCCCGAAGAGATGCTTGTTGAAGATCTACGTAATCAAGCTAAGATCGCTCAAATCAGGGTTCAGGATCTAGATCATGAAGTTCATGAATGCTTACAAGAGAACTTGTTGTTAAAAGAAAGGTTGGCTGAAGTTGCGGATGTAGGGGCGTCGTCCCTCACCAATGCTGAGGTCCGAACTCTAAGATCTGAACTAGAGAGTGAGCGAAAATTAAAATTGGCGAGTGGTGTTCAACAATATGAGAGATCATGCATGTTCATGGGGGAGATCCAGGATAGGGATGAAAAGATTGGCATCAAGAATTCTGAGATTGTTGACATGAAACGTCACTTAGATGAACTGAGAAAGAGTCTCAAGGATTCTGAAACATCTATGGCTAGGATCAGTCCTGACACACTTCCCTATTCGGCAGGCATTCCCAACTCCGATCTCGCATCCAGACTGGTCATCGACAAACTGGAGAATGACGTGAGTGAGGCTAACTGTGAAAACGCTATTCTGAAATCTTGGGTTTCGCAGATCGACAAGGAGTTGACTTATGAGACAAATGTGGCTCATTCCTATCGTGGGCATGCTGTACCTCCTCAACAACCACAGCACTCTCAATCAAGCAAAAGAATCGCTGATCTACTGAAAGAGGTTGACAACAAGATCGCTGGCGGAACTGAGAGGGAATACTACAGACCATCGAGTGGATGGGGCGGTCCGCCTGACCCTGATGGACCTCCGGACCCTTTTGGGCCTAACGGTCCAGGACCACCTCCTGAACCTCCTGGTTTGCCATCGGTTCGAGGATCACAACGCGATTCAGCAGATGATGTCTCCACAGCGGCTTACACTGCGGAAGAAGTACCAAGAATGTCAAGACGAGAGGCTGACAAGGTCTATGTTAGCCCATGGCCAAAGCAACAGAATCTTGGGGTTTGGCAATCAGATCTCATCAAGAGTGTTGTTCTTTCGGCAAATGACGGGGATAAAGCCGCATGGGAGGCATGGCTACAGCCGGCTATTCGACCAAATCCTGACATCGAGCTATTGAATGACAGTGGGGGGCAACGGTATCAGTCCATCGACGCCAAGTTGTCAATTGCATTGTCAAACGTGATAGCCCAAGCCGGTGATGTTGCTCGTCATGTAGCGATCAAATTGAGATTGAGAACACAAAGTCATAGCCGAAGAGGAACCTATGTCATGGGACGGGAAATCTTGGCTTTGATTCTGGAGCACTTCAGAACCCCAGGTCAACGAGAAACATCCTTCACCATGGAGCACATCGTATCGATGAAGTATCTCGGTGACTCGAACCTAGAAGTGTTCTACGAGAAATGGATGGAGATGGTGTCAAACATGATGCCGGATGACGTACCTCCTGATGATTGGCTTCGTGACGCTCTATACAAGAAGATTCGAAATTCGAGTCTTATGATGTTTGACATCAAGCAGTACGAGTCATGGATGGAAGGAGACCAAAGACGAAATTATCGCTACCTGTTGGATGTCATCGAAAGGCACATCTCCAGAATCAGAGAGGACAAGCATGTGGCAGCCAGAGAGAAGTATGCGAGAGACTTTGCAGGCGGCGGCAAACCTTCAGCTCCTGCTCCGAACCCAACTGCTGCTGCACCGGATGCAAATCCAAAAGCGAAGCCTAAAGCTACTCCCAAGGAGAAGGCAGCGCCCAAGGCGAAGGCCAAGGCCGATGCAGCTCCAGTTCTGCCATCACCTCAGCCTAAACAGCATGCAAAAGGAAAAGGAAAAGGTCAAGGGAAAGGGAAGGATCGAGCAAACGGCCGAAGTACCAGCCCCAGATCCAAGAAGAAGATCCCATGCCATTTCCATTTCATCAAGAAAGCATGCAGAAAAGGCAAGGATTGTGAATACAGTCACGACCAAAAGGTATTTGATGCGAACAAGAATGCAAAAGGCAACGGTCGGAAGCCAGGAACTCCAAGAAGTCAGTCTCCGGCAAACAAGACCAAGAAGATTGATGAACCATGCTGGCATTGGGCTAAGGGCAAGTGTCGGTATGGAGACAAATGCAACAAACGCCACGATCCTCATCTATTCAACACTGCTCCAAACACTGAAGCACCAAGCTCAAAGGCTACTCCTGCACTTATCCATGATTGGAGTGATGATGAAGGGACGTTCCATAAGGTTGCATCGAACGTGATCAAGAAGAAGATCAGATTTGATGAGTCTAAAACTCAAGTTCAAACTTACGTGAAGAAGGACTTCGTGAAGTGCAGCCGGAAATCCCAAACCATCCCCAAAGGTCATGGTAAAGTTGGCAAGCCCACTGATCAGATAAGGAAAGATGAGCAATGGTCTTATTCATGCAGGTTAGCTTCGAGCCGAGGGAAAGCAATGGCTATTCTGATCGATGAGAAGGGTGAACACAGTGACATTGATGAAGTCCTGGTCATAGTCGGCCCTAGCATGGACATCCTGATCAGACTCGACGTCGAGGACGGTGAGGTGTCCAGGGAAGTCTTTGTGGAAAACTATGTTCAGCATATTGAAGGTCGATATGGTAAAAGGGGCAACACAATGTGTATCACTGTTCCTGTTGAAGAGAGAGATAAGAGATTCATATTGGATTCTGGAAGTGGCCATGATCTCATTTCATCCACACGAATAAGTAGAATGGATCTCCCAACATACGATGACAAGGTCGTCAACTTCCACACAGCAAATGGGGTAACGTGTTCGACCAAACGTTCAAGCATCAAGTTCGAGGCATTTAGCGAACCAGCAGAAGCTCACATCTTGGAGGACACACCCTCCGTGCTCTCCATGGGGAAGCGATGCGTTGATCTTGGTTACTCTTTTGTATGGCCGACCGGAAGAACTCCATTCATGTTGGATCCAAATGGCAACTTCATCGAGATGACTGTTAAAGACTATATTCCCTATGTGAGCGTCGATCAAGAAAAGATCAAGTTGAAATCATCTTGTGTGGAGAAGATCATGGCAGTTCTTGATGATGGATGCTCAACATCGGAAGGTGAAGGTCTTTTGGTCATTGATGGAGAAAGTGGGGATGAACTTGAAGATCTTTCCGACTCCGTTGGACGATCCAATGTTAAATCACCCAAGAGATCAATGAAGAAACGTAAGAAAGCTAAGGTAAGAGATGATCAACATGAAGTGGCTGTTGGAAGTGATGCAGGTGATGCTGAGGAAATGTCATGCTATGCTGACGAGTATGCCGAGTTTG